TTCGGGAGACTCGACTTCTTTGTCGGCCACACCAGATTTGCTCATTGAGTTTAATGACAAAGCCAGTTCGTTCCACGGAATATATTTCTCAAGGCAGATGAGAGCCTCTGGAACATATGATTGACTCCATATAAATGCCAGAGTGAAATGTAGAAACGGGAGGACATTTCTGTCTCCAGCTTTAGACGCAACAATGGAAGTGCACTGGAGCCAGATAGGCAGAACATATGACGTGACTTCATCGGATGAAGAGAATTTAACCCCTGATCGGTTACCGAGTGGCGGAGCAGCCTGAGTAAAGTCTTGCGCATTGATAGGGCCATCTTGTTCCCAGAATTTGCGGTGCAGTTGAGTCTTGACCATAGGATTCTCAGATGGATGTTTGCCAGATTGGGGATCCGATTGTCTTTCAGTTGGAGTCTGTCTACTCTTCTCGGAACTCGCACAAAGAGCCTTCCAAAGATAATTTTCATCGGCTCCGAAGTCGAGAATCATGGCGATTAGACATGATGCCATCTCTGCTCCCTGTGTCTTGAAATTCGATCCGGTTCTGTTGATAGTGCCGTCTAACTCGGATACAAATCGACTGATGTGTGAGCGGTAGTCGTGAATGAAACCATGAGTGAAAAGTATTCCTGCCGCTGTAACCAGACTCGTTTCTACCTTGAGATATTTTTGACTTGTTGTCTCATAGTTGTCGAGAAACGGAGAGAACAAACACATGATTGAAATCCGGGTATTCACAAATGGGATATCGCTAATGAGAGCCTTGGAGTAGAAAAAGAGCTGTCGAACAATGTTCTGTCTCGCCAATCCAGCCAAGTGATGCTGTATACGACCAGTCGTTGGTGAGTGATCGGCAGCGCGATTGTACCACATTCTGGCGATATCAGCCCAGTGTTCTCGAACCTGCATATCAGATTCTTCAATGGCCAGTCGGTATCGTCCAAGGTCTCCTAGGCACTCTATCCAAGTCTCATAAAAAGCAGGTACCGATTCCATCAACAGGCCTATCATTTGATAGGCAAGATAGACAAATCTGAGCATGTGTTCGAGCGAGAAAGGTAATCGATCGCGGAGCAGCTCAAGAAAACTGTGAATACCATGTCTACACATCCGCGCAGGCATGGCATGTTTGGTCGGTAGTAGCCGAAGTGCAGGTGAAGCAGTTGGATGTTGACAGGCCAAGAAGAAGTCATGATACTCATGCAACAGAGTCCGATGCAAGACAATCAGGGCCTGCCACTGCTCATGGGAAAGCTTGTTTGCAGTCTGAGACTGCTGGTGACAGGTCTCGACACACTTCTTCTCGAGCTTCACGATCCCAGCGTATATTTTTTCCAAATCATCAACGAGCTTTTCCTGCGAGATAGGCCTGGTTTCGGGTTGTTTGAAGTGTCCATTCACTGCACCTTCCTGGGACACGGAGCGGAGGTGGGAGGGCAAACGGGAATGAGGCCTAGCACCCAACGTAGGTGCCGCTGGGGGTAACTTGAGAGAAGACGGCGGTGTCCTCTGAGTAGAGTGATAGGCTTGAGACGGGGCTGGTGTTCTCGCGGAAGTAGAGGTGGGTGAAGACAGGGCCCGTTCGTGGCGGGCGGAAAAGGGCAATCCCGGTCCACGATCGTCCTTCTTATTCGGATAGCAAGCGTTCTGGTCAAGGGCGGGGCGTTTGGAACGTCTCATGGGATCTGAAAGGTGCTTGTTGGATCGATGTTGGTCGACCAAGGTTAATCGATGAAGTTCATTACTGCTGGGTTCCTCTCTCGACTTTGACTGCAGCGATACTTGCTGGTGCTGCTGTCTTTGTCGGACAAATCTAGATGCCAGAAAATTGATGAGAAATAAGAATATGCGGGCGAAGGCTCATGAAGGCGTACCTAGAAGTCTTGCTATTGAAAATTGGCGACGACGAGGACGTTGCGCTAGGGCCAGAAGGCTGAGAGGTTTCTGACAGGCCTGTTTTTGGTCTGAATCGTGATATGGTGTCGGCTGCAGTGGGAGATCTGAATGTCTTTTGGATGTTGAACCCCGATAGCGAAGCTCGGGTAAAGTGGAACGAGGGCCAATTTGGATGAGTCAGAGTGAAAATGGAGAGAGACTGTGACCAAGACGAAGGAGATTCTTATACGTACTTTTGATAATACTTCGCCTTGTCTTGTACTCTGTGAAGACTTCGCTAACCAAAAAGGCAACCACCAAGTGGAAATACGCGTTCGAGGGGAATCAGAATTGTACGGGCCTGTCTGGCTCGACGCTTCGTCGAAGGTCACTCACACCCGTTTGCCTTTTCTATGGAGCCACCATGCTCCTGTATGACAGGAGGCAGTGTTTCTCCTTGCTCGTGACAGAATACGCCTCGTGTAGAACCCTCTGACCTATTTGGCTAATGGCACAAAGTACGAAATACGAAATAATCATTGGTTTTCGCTCGATTGATGAAGCCACTTTCCTTCGCGATGGTAGGCTAGGCCCATGAATGTTGATTCTACAAGGAAACAGGAGAATATTGGACTCCCAGCTTCGTTCACTGAGTTGCCAGCTGTTCAGCTTCAAAACCAGGGTTTGTCTTGAGTGGCGAGTAAAGCCACACTTATTTTGCCAAAGGTGCCCAACCCCTTGGTTCCACCTGAAGAATGCCGTCGAAAACGCCCTCTATACTACCTATCTGTAGACACGTCAGGTTTCGACTTGCAGAGACTAGCAACCCCGTCATGAAGGCTCCATCTGACTACCAAATGCGACCTGTATGCGTACCTCGATTCGTATTCTTATATCTTCTCTTGTGACCTTCAATTCGAGCTCGAATTGAAGGGTATATGACAACCACTTCTGCAAGCCTTCGAACATCGTAATATTCTGCACTCACTATGGTCTCAAGACACCTCCTTCCTCCCTGCGCCTCCAGAAGCGCACTTCAAACACTCTTTACTACCGACACTTTACACTTGAGTTCCTTCAGTGTCTCTCGTCCGGATGCTCTCTCTTCATGTGATTGGCGAGCGACAGTTTTCGGGGGAAACCAGGGCGGTTGGTCTTGCAGTCTCGATGAGGGCAGAAAAACTGTTGTAGCTTCGGTTGGTGTACGTGTCTCTGATGTACGAGTCTGCGATGTCTCAATAGATTACCTTTATGTTTGTACCTCGATTTGCATCCTTTCTCAAGGCACTTCCATGATCTTTCATTTTTTTAAACAAGAATTGGGTGTAGGCTCATGAATTTCTGAATAGACCAATTCGTGGGCTTCATCTTGCGTTCCTCTATCTTCGATTAGTTAACAAGAGACACACTTTCCAGAGTTAAACTTACAAATCCAGTGAGGTTGAAAAATTGGGCGAATGAACACCCCCCATAACTGCGTCTGTTATTTCTTGCTCGGTTGATGGAAAACCTTTTAACTCGCTTATGCTACGCACATAAGGATAACAGATATTTTGACGGTTTTCTGGGGTTGTGACGATAGCATTTGTTGGCGAGGTAGAAGAGGGCCACCCATCGAGGGAAAAAGTATTATATGTCGGCCAGTAGAATAGCTGACTGGAGGTTTCAACAGACGACTGCATTTCCAAACAAACCGCCTCGGCATTGGCTGGATTGGTTGAGGTATGGTTTTGATCGTAGCTGTACTGTGAATGCCGTGAGAATAAGTCTGCGTAGTTTTGAGTTTCTGCAATTGAAGTTTGGCGCAGAGACGTAGCCGGTTCTCTTTGGATGGCGGGTTCGTCCTTGTACTCGAGTAGGTGCTGAAACCGATTGTCAACCAAACTAGAGTGTTCCATCTCTTTCTCATGTTCTTCATGGCACACAGAGGCCACAAAAGATAATAGATCTTTTACTAGGACAGACTCGACGCTGGTGTCGATCAAGTTGACTATGTAGAGGTTAGTAAGATCCTTTTAGTCGATATATAGAATACTTACAGTCCTGTATAGTGTTCGTGATATTCTGTATCCACTCTCCCACCTCTGGAGTGTTATAGTCGCAAGTATAATTCAGTCGACGGAGCGGTGATTGTCTGCGCGAAGTGGCGACAGTCTCGCGAGGAATCTGGATCAAGATCTTGTCATTCAATCGCTCTTTACACTATCGCACTCGTTCGTCCGGGCGTACCTTCCGCTCAGGTCTTAGCAGCTTTCCGTAGAATGCGTACTCTTGTCTCCACTTCCATCCTGAATCGAGGTAATTGTCTGGTGGCCTTCCATGCTCTTGAAACTTTGGGTAGTTGTTGCCTCTGTGTCTCTCCATGTCCTATTCGAGCACCTACCGAGGCTTCGATTGCAGAGTGGTACACAGTAGAGTACAGATTGTCTTCAATGCAACTCTTGCCGATGGCTTGACAGGGAGAATGAGAGGGTAACCGCCTGGGGTCGTAATCTTCGCTTTAGTTGTCGGCGAGGTCGAAGAAGAAATGGGTAGATAAACGCTCCGTATTTTAGAGAGACAGTGCTTCGACAGGAGGAAGACGTTCATGAAGCAGTTGAGTGTCCTCGAGCGTACTAAAGTCAGCTACTGTCTCAGCAGCTCGAAGGAGAGAGCTCAATCGTAGCTAGCCATGAGAAGGACGGTGTTTTCGTCGAGGAGAGAATGTAAGACCAAAGGACAACAAGAGAGTTAAAGGGGGCAAACACGGTGAGGGTTTAAGAATCCTGCTTTCAGACTGTTCTCCGGCCTTGTGTACTACTTCAAGGGTAAAGTGACCAAGGCCAGATGTGCGCAGCTAAGACTCAGGGAATCAGGGGAGATTGCGTTCTACGCCTTGTCCTCCTTATTTTGAACTTATAAGCTGTCAATGGTAAATAATCAAATATAGACGCTTATAATTTCATGCCCTGATACGCCTCCTAAATCTGTTGGCACCCTAGAGGTAAAATGCACCCTTCTTTGTCAAACATAGCTCAGGAGCTGAGATCGAGAAGGAAACAATACAGCTTTCTACATCAACATTCGCAGGCCCTGTCAACAACGAAGGACAAGATGACAGTTTAAGTCCCCGGAGTTCCTCACCTAATATCATCTCTTGTCAAGACCCTTCCATCGAGTAAAGGTCTCATCCTTGAGGTTATGGCATTCCGCCCACCTAAGTCCCCCTCTGCAGATCGCTTCGTGCGATCCCTCGGAATCATCAGCGTAAATAGACTTGGATTTAGCTCAGTTGGTTTGCCGAGCAGCAATGCTAGGCTGTTCACCGCTGACTTGAGTTCCCCCAGAGTAAGAGAGTTCGGGAACATGGCAGAGCCGCTGAGCTTCTCGGTAAGCCTGGCAAATCGCTCTTCGTCCCAAAATTTCGACATATCCGGATCTGCAGATGAAACTCCATAATGAAGGCAAACAAGATGAGCACTGCGCTCCCAGTCCCAGTCCAATTGTTCTGGTATTATTGGAGGGATACTTTGATCTGGCAGGCGCTGTAGCTTGCTGAGAATAATGTTCCTCCATAGCTTCAACTCCTTAGACGCAACCTTTGTCGAGGATATAGAATTGAAAGCATGATAAACACTTTTCCAGCTTTCTTTGTTCAGCGTTTGCGTCCAAGTTTCTGGTTGCCGTTGAATGATATCATCTAGTGGTCGCTCGTCACCAGTGCGATAGTGATCTCCTGTGGTTACATACAAGCAAGAGAGAATCAGCAACAGCTGTTCGTAGGAAAATCTCTGGTCTGTTGCCTGAGAGTCGATAGATTCCTCGGACACTTGAACGACCTCGTGGTAGTTCCCAGTTGCAGTTGAGTCTATGTCGATAGTAGTAGAATCTTGCCCGGGCGACCCTTCTGACTGGTTCGGGTCCAATAATAGCGACTCGATATCCATGAAGTTGACCTGAATGCTATGTGAGAGAATGAGTTGTGCCTGCTGGTTCTGAAGAGAATGTAAAGAAGCATGCGAAAAGAGACTGTAAGATAGAAAAGGTGGAAGCACTGAACTGTTTAATACTGCGCACACAAGTCGCCAAGATACAATAGGCACAACACCATCGAATCTATCATTCAGCCATGTGTATTCTCACAGTAATTTCTCTGGAATTACCAGCAGAGTGGCTTGAGGCTGAGCCTCATCGTTAAACATGCTTCCCAGTGCAGTGACGCATTTACAGTACTGTTTACCCTAAGCAATTTAAGCAGTGCTCAGTGAAGAAGCTACCATTCTGTCTGACTATCCGAATCCATACACGCCATTTCAGCCTAATCAGAACCAAATTTCGCTTCAAGTTTCCCGGACACTGAGACAATTCCAGATTGAACCCATCCATGGTGACCATGATCTACACATGGACACAACCATAGTGATCTTTGTAGACAAATGCTGCCGACTTACTCAAAATATCGACGTAGTAGACGCGACACGTTCCTTGTAACCCCCCCCCCCCCCAAAGCCGACGATAAATGGCCAGTCGAAAGCGATCCTTCCATGTCCAGCCATAGTTTTCGATATCTGCAATCTCTAAAAAGGATGTGCCGTCAAATCCTGTGTAGACATTGACTGCTGCCTGTCGCGTTTCGTTGACCTTCCTTATCTGCTCTTCTTTGCAGAGGAGCACTTGAAGGCCGCTTTCATGAGTGAATTCGGCGGTGTCTCACCAAATTACCCAAGCAGGAAAATGGCTGCACGGAGGTTAGACAGTCTGTTTTCCCTCGCTGGGACCGAAACTGGGCATACCTTGCTACATCGCTCGCACATATAAGGCTTCTCTCCGGTATGCACTCGCATGTGGATAGTCAAATTAGGTCTCCGGGTGAATCGCTTCCCGCAGCCTTCGAAATCACAAGCATGTGGTTTGATGCCGCTGTGAATTAGCTCTGTAAGAAAGTTAGCGAAGAGCTGTCGCAGCCAAGGGTTGACCATACTATGTCGCGCAATTTCGCTGCGAGACGCAAAGCCCTTCTGACTAGTGCTACACGTAAGTGCCTTTGGTGCGGACTCGTTCTTCTGTCTGATGGCACCAAAGTTATCGTCAACCATGGTCGGCTTACTGGAACGGGTTCTGAAGCGACTGGGACTTATTTTCTTTTAATGATTACTTACGCTTCGGATCGAGGACATTTTTCTATCGAGTATTAGAGGATTCTCAGAAGTTTGAATGCTAGACCTACCTGCAATTTCGCGCCGCAATGTAGTCGGAGTTTCTGAAGCCAGACTAGGGCAACTCAAAGTCTCGGGATCAATGGTTCGAAGATCAATCTCATGAAACCCTTCCCGGCGGCTTTCTTCTTTGTGTCTTTGGTACAAGTCGCCCCCTCTTGAAGAGACACTCGGGGATTCCTCAAGGATATTCCAGTTGATATCAGATCTCTCGTGCAATGATTTGACTTGAACTTCCAGTGTACCTCCGATGGTTTTCAACGTGAGAAAGGTAACTGCGCCGAATTCAATATTTTGTAGATGATACTGCAAGGCGTCGTATAGAGCTTCACTCTTAGCGTCGAAAGGAAGCATCCTGAGACCTGCTTCCAAGGAGCCATACTCGCAGTTCTGGTATTGACAATGGATTATAACCGAATAATGGAAATAAGTGATGAAGAACTTTCCATGATCTGGATATTCTAAGATCTTGTTCAATTTCCAAGAATCAAGTATGTATGTTGACGTCACGGGCTTGGGATAGCGGCTGACACGGCGAGAAGAGTTGAGAAGAGAGTGATCAGTGTAGACGGTCGGATAGGGTTGTGAGGAAAGAGACATGTCGGATCCATCGGATCCGTTGGATGCCTCCATAGTGCTCGTAGCTCGCGTCTGAGTGAGTGTTTGTTCTGATTGGA